GAATGCAAAGTCAGCCACATTAGTTAGCCATGGATATAAGGCAGTGGTTGGACACACCTTTAATCCCAGGATTTAGGAAACAAAGACAGATGTGTCTCTGTGACTCCAAGACCACTCTGGCTACACAGGAGTGAATCAGTCTAAAAGAGAAACAGAACCCACACCTTTAATCCCAGCACTAGAGAGTATATAAGGATCTCAGTGCAGTCTAAGATTCTGAGGCTTGGTGGAGATCAGTGCAGTCTGGAGATGCACTCTGAGGACAGGATTGCACCTTCTGTCTGAGCATTAATATAGGTGAGAATTCTCTAGTGACTGTCTGCTTTGCTTCCATGATCTTCCACTTGAACCCCAATATCTGTCTCTGGGTTATTATTATTCATGTCATACATCATCATGTGTATACTAGAAGTTAGTAAGTTGTATAGCAAAAGAATATTGTCTCCTTTATAGTTTTTATGTTATTAACTTAGTAGAGTTTCAAATTTCTTATAGATTCTAGCTTTTTATACCATACTTATTACCTTATATCCTTTGTCATTTAAATCTTGGCTTTGGTATATTTTTTCTCATCAGAGTTTGTAATGTTTATGTTGTTAGAATCTTTAGTACTACTTATTTCAATATTTATCTATTTGTTTACTTTTCATTTGAGAAAGCCTGTTCCTCTACAGGATTTTAAACAGTATATTTTTCCAGTACTCTGAAGGATCTTGGAGAAGAGTCTTCCAGGATGAATGAATGACAATTTTGTGCAAAAAGTGTAGAGGAAATGGTTCTGGTTTGTTTAAGGAATAGGCAGGAGAAACAATGGGTCAGAGAAGGAAGAATGAGGAAGAGACTGTGGGAGTTTGGAGAATGATGGGTGTTTCCTGTATTGAATCTTTTTTTTTGCTTGCCACATTAGCGTTACTGTGTCATAATGGCCCAACTGTGATTTAGAAACACACAAGTACCTGTGTTTAAAAAGCTAAAGCCTTCTGGGTTTCGTGCCACACACCTTTAATCTCAGTACCAGGGAGGCAGAGGCAGGTGAATGTCTAGAAGTTTGAGGCCAGCCTGGTCTACATAGGGAATCTTCTGGCCAGCCAAGGCTACATAGTGAAATCTTGTTTCAAAAGAAAAAAAGCTAAAGTGAATGGGAATGTTGCATTGTGCTCTTAAAATTACTTCCTGTTGTCTGGGAGTGACAGCATCTCTAGCAGAGCCTGAAAAGAAAAAGAAATGGGATAATTGTCAAGTCCTGGGAGAGCTAGCTGTATCATTTGTTGCCCATTCTCTGTGTAATGGGAAAACTCAGGGCTTATCTCAAGTCCTGGCTGGAGTAGCCTGTGAGGTTACCATCTCAGGGAGCCACCTGGAAATTGTCCAAAGCAGTTTGTAGTCTAAACCCCATCTGTGGGTGGTGCTTGTCAGCTTAGTGGCATTCCCACTGTCCTGGTGGAAGTATCATTGTGGGACCCCATCATCCTTTTAGAGACTTATTAGGTCCCTATTAGACATGGTCATGGTTTACTGTGGAAAAACATTTTGAATGCCATATACAGTGGATCTTGAAGAGGTTAAAGGAGCATAATTTGTTATGTCCATCCAGATAATTTTGTAATGTAATGGCGAGATTGGTACTCAGAAACAAGCTATTGAGTCCATGTAGCGAATGTATCTATATATGAGTATGTGTGTGCATGTACAAACTGTGGGTGCATTTAGTGTTCCTATATTGTAGACATATTTAGTACTCATCACTGATGTCGGGTGACCTATCCGAGGTCACCCTAGAAAACACTTGATTCTCCCTTTTATGGCAACATCAATGTCTGTAGCTCTTCAACTGTTTCTGGAGCTTTGTAAGATTTCCCCATCTTCATTGGCATGTAGGCTGGAGGTATAATATTTACACTATCGTTAAAAAAGAAGATATTGGGATAAGGAGAAGAGCAGGAAGGCTAACTTTCTGCTCCCTGGGAAAGAGGCCACCAGAGCTGTTTCCTCTGAAAACAAAATGCACCCATGATGAAGAACCAAGCAGAAACAGCAGCGTGTCTCTGTTTCCATTTAAGTATGGAGACAGGTCACTCATGTTAAGTCTCATCTGCCATGTGCAGCCTTAACTGATGTGTGTGTGTGTGTGTGTGTGTGTGTGAGTGAGAGAGAGAGAGAGAGAGAGAGAGAGAGAGCAGACAGACAGACAGACAGACAGACAGAGAGAACACAGAGAATGCATATGGGGTAGGAGGTGTGTGTGTGTGTTTGTGTATGTGTGTGTGAGAGAGAGCACATGGGTAGGGGTGAGGACGTGTGGTGGGAGTGGGTACCTGGAGATCAGAAGACGGCTTTGTGCAATTGATTCTCTCCTTCTTCCCTGCGGGATTTGGGAATCAATTTCAGAACAGAATTAGAAGTCAAGAATCTTGATTCTAAATGACATACTGTTTGAAGTGCCTTAGTACATTAAAGTAGGGCTTATCAGCCCATGGCCTGCAGGGTGCATGCATACCACTGAAGAGTAGTTAGTGAAAACATGAGATTTATTTGTAGGAAGAGACTTCAGGACTGCGCCACTACCCATGTCCACTTTGGGCATGGCTAGAAGAGAGTACAGAGGTGGTAATAAAGGCGATGCAGGAGAGACTCATGATCTCTTTTTAGCTTCCGGTTCTGTGGCAAAAGCTGCTGACTCACCTTGGTTGCCCGTTTTCTCTTGTAAGTAATTTCTACAATAAATACTTACCTATACCCTCATCAAGTGTGTTGTTTATTGCTACAGATTTGGGTGTGACTAGAGACACAGTTCAGCACATTTTATTACCACATCTGTATGCGCCTCTAGCCACGCCCAAAATGGGCATAACTAGTGGTGCAGTCCTAAAGTCTCTGCCTACATTTATTTGCAATCTTTATTTATTTTAACAATTACACAGTTTTCAAACATGATCTCTCTGTGGGAAACTATTGTGTCACAGTGTCACATGGTTGGACATACTGATGACTCGCCTGTGTGCCTGCAGCTGTTCTGAGTAACCTGGCCACTATCCACAGTGAGTTTCTGTGTACTGGATGCAGGGGACTCAGTGTCTGGTGGTTTTCCTGATTCTCTGTAGAACTCATGTGCCTTAGCTTTCAGTGGTGGGTGCTGAAGTCCTTCTTCCTGACTGAATTACTCTGAAATAGCTTTAGCATTTCCGTTTTAATGTCCTGATATAGCACAAAGGGTTTTGGGATACCTGGATTTTATTCCCACATTTGCCCCTTATTAGTTATACGCCCTTTATAAATCATAAACTTGTAGACTGTATAATAATCGTGAAGCAGCCCTGAAGTGTCATGTTCTTACACTAAAAAATGGAGAAGTTAGGATCCTACCCTTGTCTCCTCTGTTGACTTGTGTATGATCCTGAAGTGTGGGAAACAAATTTTCTGGTCCATATCAGACACATGATACCATCTCATTGTTACCTTCATACCTCATGCCATGCAAATTATACATCTCCATCTTTCTCTGTTGGCGTCTTTCTTATAGTATGGTTGATGGGAACTGCACCAAGGACTGTAGGTTGGGGCAGCTGTGCTATGACCTTATATAAATGGAAGATCATGTTCCTATTTCACTTCAGCTATTTTTTTCTAAATGCCACTATTCCTAGGACTTAGTAGCTGCAATATTTCAAAATGTCTTTGAAGCCAACCCTTTGCCTCTGGAATAGACTGTTCCAGGCTCTTTACTATTCAATATCTTCTGGGACAGAGATTTCACAACCTGTCTCTCACCTTGAGGATGTTCTTATAACTAATATAAATCTTGCTTTCTGCAATTTCAGTTGAATTTATATCATTTTTCTTTTCTCTGTAGAGATGAGAACAGCCCTAAACCAGAGGTGATGCATTCTCATGAGGGCCAGTACTGAACGTTGTAGAAAAATCGTTTTCAGTCCAGCCTCCATTTCTCTACCATTCTGACATTTGATTCATGTCTCAGAAGGTGCCGATTTAAAAGTCCAAATGAAATAATAGTTTCTATCTACTATCTGTACTAATGAAATCATTTGCTCTTAAAATAAAATGAGGTATGAAAATTTAAAAGTGAGTTCTTGTGGGGAGGAAGAGGGATATGTTGGTCTCTGATCCTGTTTGTAAGAAATGTGTTGTAAGAAAAGTGGTAGTACATATCTTCAATCCCAGCCCTTGGGAGGCAGAGGCAGGTGGATCTCTGTGAGTTCCAGACCAACCTGGTGTACAAAAACGAGTTCCAGGACAACCAGAGCTATACACAAGAGAAACTCTGTCTCAAAGAACTTAAGAAAGAAAGAAAGAAAGAAAGAAAGGGAGAAAGAAGATAAAAGAAAAAGAAAAATCTGTTGGCTGAGTTCTTAAAAGGGGCTGGTGTGGCTCTCTCTCTGTTGACCCTCAGAACCTGCCAGTGCTAACATTGCTGTCCAACTTCTGAAGTCTCTGAAGATAAGAGACCCCTCTAAAGTAAATAAATAAAATAGAAGACTGTGTTCTCAAAATGGATTTGGGATATTTAACCAAACTTACTTCTTACTTCATATAGCTATAGTCACAAGAATGGGTTTGGCTGTAGATTTTATTCCTTTTTTTAATGATCATAGTAAGTGATTGATTGAATCATTAAAAATTGTGAGACAAGAAATCTGTTTCTTGGAGCAAGCTGTCCAGAAGTGGATTTCAATGTTTATGGTCAGATGGCTTAGTCCTCAGCTAAGAATTGTGCTGAATGTGGTGAGGAAAAATACACAAACCGTGTCCACGAGGAGCCTATGGTTGGGCTGAGAAGGACACTGTGAACTAGCTGCTGCGAGTCACTTCTAACAGTGCATAGAAAGACATTAAATGGAAATTTAAATTTGCATCTTAAAAGATTTCACAGAAAAGTCTTATATATATATATATATATATAATTGCATACATGTTAAATTTACTGAGCCCCTAAAATTTGTATTCATTTGCTTCATTCTGATTTCTGTATTTTCCTTTTGAAGGTTCAGCAGTTTTCTGAAAAATCATTCCTTTTAAAGATTCTGAAAACCCGTGAAAATGCACTAGAGAGACAGTGTGGTGAAATTATGAACCAGAGAGACACACTGTTCCAATCCTTCGTAAGTTGCTAGCCACCTAGAAACATCCAAGTCAGCAACTGTGTCAAAAGCATTTAAATATATACAGCTTTACTTTGAGACAATTGTATGTATGAATATCAGCTGACAGTATTGCTCAAATAAAAAATATTAAGGGCTGTTTAAAACTGACTGAGAGAGCAATACCGTTTGAGAGAGTTGTTCTGGCAAGGATATACTACAGTTGCAGTGAGCCTAAAAGAAAGAATGTCACTGTTTTCAATGACTCTGGTGTTGAGACCCAGTTACAATGCTCTGGAAAAACAGAGAGGTTTATACTTTCAGGCATATTTATGAGTATGAATGAAAATATATTGTTTATCTTTTATCTTAAGTCAAATTCAACAAGCTGAGCAGTAGTTGTTTTGGAGGTGTGACTAGTCATCAGTTGACATTTCAAAGAAATTCATTTAGGCCAGCAAGAGGGATCAGTAAAGGCATTTTCCACCAAGTCTGATGACCTTTCAACCTCTGGAACCAACATGGTGGAAGGAGAACTGACTCCTGCAAGTTGTCCTCTAATCTTCACATGTATGTGATGACATGTACATACCCACACTCATACACAAACACACACACAGTAACACACACACACAATGAATAAATAAATAAATGGAAAATTTTGTAAGATATATGTAAGAATAAAAATACAGCTCATGACATGACCAGCTTCTAAAAGTGATTCCACATAGTTGTCATGCCATCCAAAAAATAAAAATACAGAAGACTAATGTTTCTCGTGCTGTCAGGAAATTAGATTTTTGTACTGTCCAAAGATTTAAATTCATATTTTCATGCACTGTGGTTATTTGATTTGCAACATAAAAGCTTATTTAGAACTTACTTTGAAATGATTGCATAATTTGCCTTCAGATAACAGTTTTCTTTTTCCTATAAAGCAGCCATTGTTCCTTTGAGTAAAGGTTGTAATTTTCACATTTCACTATTACTACTCCACCTAATTGTACATTATATTGACAAAGTAGCATATATGATTGTAAAGTAAATTCACAGACACAAGGATAATGATTAATGTAAGAATTTCTACTTCACCAACTCTCCGAATCTGTAAGGATAAAACTTCCACATAAAAGTTGTTGTATAGCAGCCTCCATCCTTAAACATGTTTACTTGGTCAGCACAGGGTGTCTGTGGTGATGCAGGAAGCAGAGCTGATGATACTTCAAATTGTTGTATTTTAAGTCACCGAAGAATAGTGCAGCCAGCATGTATGTTTGGTCACCTTTTTCTGCTTCTCAGGAGGCCACAAAGAAAAAGGTGACAGAGGAAGAAGAAAAATTTATCAAGGAAATTGCAGACTTCAATGATGAGTATGAAATAACCAAGAAAAGAGACGTTTTGATGAAAGAAAATATCAAGATGGAAATATCTGACTTGGAAAAGCAGGCAGATGTCTTGAGAGGAGGTACTGGAATAGCTGTGCTCCTTTGATTATCATTAGTGAATACATGGTGTCATTTGCTTGTTCACTTGTCTGTTTGTGAGACAGTATTTTACCATCTAGCACAAACTGGCTTGGAACTTAATGTGTAGCCCAGGCTGGCCTCAGACTTGGTATGATCCCCTTGTCTCAGTTCTCCAAGCGCTGAGGTTTAAAGTGTCCACCACCATGCCTGTTACAGTGAGCCACTTTGAATGAATGCGTCAACTCTGTATGAAGGTAAATTCCAGCATTACATAGTTAACTTTTTTACTTAGTGAATGTATATGACCATGCTGACTGTTTATTTCACATTACTCAGAAGTATATTGTGAACTGAGCCTTTGGTCATCCATCTGATGTGAATGTCAGTTTAGTATGTCATGTGACTGTTAGGTCTTGTTGTAGGTCCCAGGGATGTGGAATTTAAATGTGTAAGGAACAAATGTACAAGCCATGTGATGAGTTAGAACTGATGCTATGAATCGCATTTGCTCATCCAGCCTGTGTAAAGTGGGAAGTGCTTGCACAGACAGAGGTGGAGAGTGTGTCACCTCATGCATGTCTGTGTGCGTGATACTGTAATCTGATACAATGATTAAGTAAAGTCATTGCCAAAGAGAGGGGGCTGAAGGAGCTTTTTAGGGAAATAGCAGGACTTTAATACCCATAGAAACAGGGAATGTCAAGGACACCCGTTCCCAGAGGCTCTATTCCACCAAGAAACTTGGTTTCTCTTCCTCCCAGTCAGGCCCAGTCGCAGTTGAGACTCCTTGATTGCCACGCCCCTGTAGTTAATTCCTTGAGTACATTTCCTCTGAATCTGAAAACCTCACAGTAAAGCAAATGCTCATTTCTCAGATCGTCAGTGTACCCTGGTAAGATCAGAAAGGGGAAAGCTGTGGATACCATCGCCCCACTGTAGTTCACAAGTGCAGTTACAGAGGCACCGGGCATTCCTGGTTAGGACCTGGGCGTGCTCCTGCCTCCTGTGGTCACCATGCTGGTGCTGGCTCCTCCCTGTGACCTCCATCCTGAGGCATCCTTTTTTGTGAGAGGTGTCTTGTGCTTGCAGCCCCTCCTTATTAAAGCTGCTTCTGCTCTACAGGACCTCAGGCATTCAAGGGCCTTTTTGCCATCTCTTAGCATTACTGAAATTATGGAAATAGTTCTCTTAAAGACTTCGTGACTCTTAGATGAGTCTAATTGAGGTTAATTCCACTAGAAAAAAAGCTGTAACTACAAATTTTTTTCTGAGATCAGACTTTGTTTTGGTTTCTGCTGAAACAGTAAAAGACAATACTAAGTGTTCTTTTTTATTCTTCTCTTTTATGGAAAATACATTATTTTCTCATACAATATATCTTGATTACAATTTCCACTCCCTCTACTCCTGGCCCTCAAGCTTAACCGATTTTCAGAGGCATCATGTTAGGTTTCTCTCAGATCAAAACAGTTTTAAGTTTATGTACTGTGTTTTATATTTAGATGGTGATTTCCTAGCCTTGCTGGGGGTTTATCTTCAGTAGCAGATGTGTATTTTACTTCCTGAAACAGCTAGTAAGAAAAAGCAAAGGCGCAGTGCCAGGACACCATGTGAATTAAAGGTGATCTTAAAACACTAGTACAATCTGAACACAAATATGAGAGGAAGAACAGACCACTAAAGCAAATAATAACACAGTAGTTTGTCCGTGTCAATAACTAACACTAAGTGGTCAGCCACTCACTACAATTAGAAGGCAGAGCTGATCAGAATGACACACACACCCCTCCCAGCGCTATGGGAGAGGCTCGGCAGTGAAGAGCAGACAGCACTCTTGATGGACACCCAGGTTCCATTCCAAGCACCCACATCCCACAGATGACAGCTGCCTGTGACTCTGGCTCTGACGTCCTTGAACATAATGCACATACACAGACTTGCACATACACACGTAGCTAATAGCAATAAAGCATTTTAAAAGGAAGCTAATGAAAAAGATACTCTGTGTGCAACAACCATAAAAGTCAACATTTTTATTGATATCAGATACAATTTAATAAAATGCTGTCACTGAAATTAAAGAGAATTTTATATTGAAAAGTTTAATTTTCAGTTAGGAATATTGGAATAATGCATATTGTATTTTCTCAGCATTAATGAGTAACTAAAAAAAAGTAACAAGCAAAAACCTATCCAGCAAAATCTAAACATTTGGAAATTAAATGGCACATTTATTTAAAAAACTCATAGTCAAAGGGGAAATTAAAATAATTGAATTATAATATAAATTCAACATACTAAAATTTTGTAGTTTAGGCAGTATTTATTTGGGGGTTTATAAGTGGCTTTAATGCTTATGCTACTTTAAATAAAATAATGGCAGAAGGTTGATGTGTTTCACATGAAAAAGATCCTAAAAAGTAGTGCCAATAAATTCACACGAAAGAGGAAGATGAGTCTGAAAATTAAAGCAGAAAGCAAGGAAAAGCTGGAGAAGGAAGAGACAGTGTCTTTCCCCATGCTGTGACACACTGAGCGTCAGGAAAGCACGTGCTCAGCTGAGCAGTCACCCTCTAGGACTTGAGCCCAGACTCCAGAGTATTCCCGGGGAAATGGTGTCTTACAAAGGAATGGCAGCTCCACAGGTGAAACCATGGCCCCTCAGTAAGTAAGCTAGAGCTGTGGGACATCTGTTGCAGAGGTGACCCTGTAGCCTGTCATACACCATGTTACAAATTAACTTGAGGGGCTACAGACATGTCTCCACACTCAAGAGCAATGCTCGGCTTCAGAGGACTGGAATTTAGTTCCAGGCACCCATGTTGGACAGCTTGCAGCTACCTGTAACTCCATCTGCACGACATCCGATGCCCTGTTCTGCCTCAGTGGATACCTGTCCACACACGGCATATACTCATTCAGACATAAACACATACTCATAAACTTATACCTAAACGTTAAAACAGCAGTTGGGAATCTCCTGAGGAAAACAGAAACACGGTGAGGACATCAGGACTGGAGGGATGGCTCAGCAGTTAGGACTGCTGGTTCCTCCCGCTGAGGACCTCAGTTTTGTTCTCAGCATCCACAGCAGGTGACTCACAACTGCCTACAGCTCTAGTTTCATTTGTTCTGATAATGCACCGGTTTGCACACAGTTCACATAAACTCAGGCACACATAAATATACATAAATGATAAATACATCTACAAATATTGTCACCATTTTCAAATGAGCAGATTTCTTAGATGGAAACTAGAAATGTGAACCATAAGAGGAAAATACACCCTGGTAATAAACTAAACTGTAAAATGCTAGGAAAATGAAGACAGGCTATGGACTGGAGAGAACATTTGTGATGTGTACATGGGATGTTACTCAGAAAATAATGACTTCTCAAACTTCAAATTGAGAAGGCAACAAGACCAGTTATAGCAGGGAGATTTGAGCTTAGCAGTACAGTGCTGGTGACCAGTAAACACACTGGAAAGGTACTCAGTATTTTTATTCATGAGGAAGACACAAAGTAAAATATAAGCGAGCTGTCATTGTGCATTCATTTAATCAAAATTAAACAGATCAGGCACCATTGTGACCTCTAGTGATCTAAAGGGATGACACCAATTGGCAAGCTAAGCAATAGTGTAGAGACCACCCCGAATGCCCATTCCTGATAATGAACTTGATGTTTATAACCATCCTGGAGCCTTCATCCAGTGACTGATGGAAGCAGAGGCAAACACCCACAGTTAAACACTGAACTGAACCCAAGGAACCCAGCGACAGAGAGAGAGGAGCGATGAGGAAATTGGCAAAGAATGGGCTGGCAAAACCAGCAGAGACAGCTGATCTGAACAGGCGAGAGCTCTTGGACCCCAGACCGACAGCTGGGAGGCCAGCATGGGACTGATCCAGACCCCTGAATGTGAGAGTCAGTGAGGAGGCCTAGGCAACCTATAGGGTCCTGAGCAGTGGATCAGTGTTTATCCCTCGAATACTAATAGACATCATGTGTCCATAACACAAAGAGGGTTGCTCTCTCGACCTGGACTCTTAGGGGAATGCCTGGACCCTATCCTGAGTGAAATGACAGACTCTAGATATCCCCTATGTGGAAGGAATTGCCAATAGGGTGGGAGGACAGGGGGGATGGGGGTTGCGGGAGGAGGGAAGGGAGAGGGAACTGGGATTGACATGTAAAACAAGCTATTTAAAAATTAAAATAAAAAATTAAACAGACTGGGGGAATGGGATGCTCTCTCAACTCAGATACACAGAAGAGGGTCTAGGCCCCCCAAATGATGTGACAGACTTTGAGGATCCCCCAGGGAAGGACTCACCCTTCCTGGGGAGTGGGTGGGGGTGGGCTGGGGGAGTCAGTGGGGTGCATGGGAGGAAGGGAGTGAGAGGAAACTGGGATTGACATGTGAAATAAAATTGTTTCTAAATTAAATAAATTTAAAAATTAAACAGACTTCCCAAGTCAGGTGTTGAGAAAAATGAAGAACATTTGAAACCCATGTAGTAGTAATAAAAATAGAAAATAAAAGGTAAAATTTCTCTCAAGAATTATTTGGAAATTTCTTAAAAGTTAAGTATACATTTATCATATACTCACTACAATTAGATGCTCATATGTTCAACCATCCCTACATCTCTGGAATGAAATCCACTTGATCATGATGGATGATCTTTTTGATATGTTCCTGGACTTGTTTTGCAAGTATTTTATTGAATTTTTTGGCATCAGTGTTATGAGGGATATTGGTCTGTAGTTCTCTTTGTTTGAATCTTTGTGTGGTTTGGTTATCAGGGTGACTGCATAAAGTGAATTCCGTAATGTTCTTTCTGTTTCTATTTTGTGGACTAGTTTGAGGAGTATTGATATTAGCTGTTCTTTGAAAGTCAGGTAGAATTCTGTGCTAAAACTGTCTGGCCATGGGCTTTATTTGGTTGGAAGACTTTTAATGACTATTTCTATTTCCTTGATGGTTCTAGG